GTCAGCGAAGCAATGTCAATCAGATGTGCAAACTCCAACGAGTTCTCAACAATCTCGCGTAAGGCGAATGTTTGGTGAGAGATGCTTAAGCACTGGTATGGGCTCGGCTACAGCCCCGAGGATACAGTGGTGGGAGCTGAAAGAATGGTTCAGGATAGAAGTTGCGATGAAATTGACGAAGGACAACTGGAACAACAAAGTAGACGAAATATGGGAACAGATGACCAACATAATTATAAGAAATGCCAGAAGTAGAGTCAGAGAAACAGAAGGCACAACACATATCCAGAAAGAAACGCAGTGGTGGAATGCGGACGTTCAGGCGATCCTAGACAGAAGAAAAAGCTGTTCAAGAAATGGCAGCTATCGAAAAACAGAGTAAAATAAGTTAGATCAAAGAGCGAGGTAAAGAATCGTCGCCGAAGCTAGGAAGGAAGGTGGGAAAGACATCTATCACATTGCGAAAACGAGAGAAAGAAGATCAAGAGATGTCGGTAAAGCGAAGTGCATAAAATACGAAAGTGCATTGGCATCGATTGACGAGAAAAATATTCGCAACCGATGATGAATCAACTTCGAAATGTAATTAAGTAAAGAACATTTCAGAGAGACCGCGGAAGAGGTCCCACGAGATCAGGGTCTAATCAAAAAATCTCATATGAGGAAGTGGAATAAGCTTTGAGCCGAACAAAAAATAAAAGGCCCTTGACCCGGACGGAGTCCGCTAGAAGCATGGAAAGCATTGAAGCAAGAAGGGGTAGCTTGACTCTGCGTCCCTGCTGTAAAATTGTGGAATGTGAAAAAATGTCAGATTTACGGAGCAGAGTATCATGATCCCAATGTACAAAATGAAAGAGTATGTGCTTGCATGTGAAAACTACTAGAGAATTAAACTTCTTACTCACACCATGAAACTACACGTGAGGGCGATGGACAAAAGACTGAGGAAGAAAGTAGATACCACCGCGAACCAATTTGAATTTATACCAGGCCGATCAACCACGGATGCCACATTCGCTTTAACATCAGTCCTTTAAACATACAAAGAAGGCAGACAAGACATTCACATAGTGTTCATAGACCTGGAGAAAGCCTTTGGTCGAATCCTGAGGCAGGCACTTTGATGGAGTATGAGAAAGAAGTTGGTGCCAGATAAATATGTCAGGCTTAATAAAGATAGTACGAATAGAGTGATAACGATTGTTCGAAATACATGCGGCGAAGTGGAAGTGTTCCCTGTGCTGGCTGGACTCCACCAAGGATTGGCACCGATCCCGTTTCTGTTTTTTGCAGACGCGATTGTAAGAGTCTGCTGGAAGTAGCTCCATACCGTGTGCTCTATGCGGGTGATATTGTGCTGTACAGCGAAAGCAGAGGATCTCTGGAAACGAAAACCGACGCATTGAGAACAGCCCTTGAGAAGAATGGCATTTGACTCAGCAAAGACAAGTCAGAACATATGACGGGCTATTTCAGTAGGGAAAAGCAGATTAAAGCTGTCAAACCAGTGAATGTAGCGTGGAGCTTGCTTCCTCAAACTCAAGAATTCAACTATCTTGGTTCCATCTTGCAAGGAATGCGTAAATTCACTGCGAGATAAGAAATCAGTCGAAAAAAATGCTTTGCCCAAATGGAGAAAAGTGAACGGCAAAAAAAATGCCAGGTAGACTTAGAGGGAAGGTGTATAGAACGATAGTGAGACCGGTGCTTCTGCACGGAACGGAATGTTTGGCTACCCTGAAGATACACGAGTAGCAGCTGAACTCGGTAGAAATGCGAATGCTCAGGCAGATGTGTGGTGTCAGCAGAAGAGACCACATCCGAAACAGCTCCATAAGATGCATTCTAACGGATTGCACCAATTTCAGAAAAGCTAATAGAAAGCAGGCTCCGCTGGTTCGGTCACGTGAAAAGAATATCCATCGAATACGTTAGCAACGTGGTCCAAGCAATGATACTGCCAGGGAAGAAAAGAAGGAGATGACCAAGGAAAAGGTGCCGCAAAATCGTCAAGAACGATATGAAACCTTGAGCAGTCACCAAAGATTTAACAGAAAAACGAGGAGGAAGTTGACTCAATTAGCCGACTCCTGTTAAAGAAAATATAGTACGAAAAAGAAAGTATTTCGGCGAGACCTGATGTCACGCTGTTCTTGAAATTTTAGAGCGGGATCACCGATAGGCTTTCGTTCAATGATTCTGCCAGACAGTTTAGGTTTTGCCAGGAAACCACCACCGGCATGAGCGCGCGTCATGATATCGACACCTGAGTAGAATAGCCTCCAGGTTCCGGTCATCGACTTCGCGCTGCCTGCCTCACTCCCCCAACGGCCTGCGCAGCCATTGAGAACCAGGGCGACGACCGAGCCGGTATAATGTTCGATGTCAGCAATACTCTCAGAGGCAGTTAGCTAAGTTTTCTGGCTGCCTCACCACATTCCCTACCATCCTCCTTTCTTATCCGAGTTTGGGACCAGCAACGACGGAGTTAAGAAATATGCATAAATAATTTCTTATCTTTTCGTTTTGTTGCTAAGCATAAAATTGCAATCGGCTCGTGTACGTTTATAAATCATGCTCGTTTCAATTTTACGGTGACGTCTTGTTAATATTAACATATTCATGCACACAATTTCATTTTTGGCATTCTATCAATATTTCAGTAGCATTAAGGTGAAAGGATCTGTATACCTGGATAAACTACTCTAAAAAACATCCTTTTGCTCATCAATAAATGAGCTCTGTGTCTAGTTGAAAGATTTATATAGCAGTGTTGTTGTTGCTATTGCGATTGTCGCAGTCACTATTTTGACCGGCTTCAATGATCCCTGATCACTGCTTTCTACCTCTATCGATCACGCGCAATGTCCTCCATCAGGTTCAGCCACCAAATCCCTTCACCGCTTCTACCCATAATCTGCGGGCCAAACAAAGCTTCAAAGACAGCTCTGACAATGTACCACCAGGTCTTAATGAATCTGTCTCTTTCTGGTTTCATCCAGGATCAAGGTAGTGTTCAGTAAAATGATTTCGCCTGATGGCCATCTGATCCCATACCCCAGCTAATGAGGTCACTGTTCTTACAGAACATTAGAGAGCTGGACGTTGCAACGATCGTGAATTGCTGCTTTGAATGTATGGACTCTGAATTGTGTCAACAAAATGATTCACAGACACAAGCGATCGACGGATTCGAGTTTCCTCAGGTTTTCGACTCGTAAAGTCTGGTTCTTATATCTATAAAGGATAAAGGAACATAGCAGAATTCGGCACTTCGTTTTCAGACTGTTCTCTCGTCGTTACCACAGCGGCTTGCAGAGCTTGATAAAAAATTGCCTTGCTTTCGCAATCCAAGCCGTAATTTCGTCCTTAGATTCTCTATCGGGAGGATTGAAGAGCCAAAGTAGTTGAAGTTGGTAACTTCATTAGAGTGAGTAGTACACAGGAAGATGGATTTTTTCCTGTTCCCGGATCCACTGGGGAAGCAGTTTTGTTTTCGTTTCCTTGATGACTAGTTCCCTCTGTTACAGCTTCGTCATGCATTTGCTTAAGGTTATAGCTGGCTTCGTCATTGTCTGATGACATGATGATGATTTAACGGAAATTATCAATGACAGCAATGTAGTAACATCGATGCTGTCATCGAAATTCTTAGCTACTAAGCTGGATGGGACAGCTGATACCACGGTAACTACAAGACTGATCAAAGCCATCTGAACATGGAACATGCAACTGCTTTAGAGTATGAATGAGAAGAAGACATCGAGTATCTGTCAAATATGTCATCATCATCGTGAAGCTGCATGAGTTAGTAGAGGTGAAGAAGATTTTAGACTGCAACAAGGCTGTAACCAGTTTCTTGACACGCGGATACACCATCACCAAAGCTTAGGGCAGTCTGCACCAATAAGAAAATTGATTTTCAAAGGACTTTCGCCTAAGTGGAATCCCATAAAAAATAAATTAATCCAAAATGCATAGCTCCTTATTTTCTCATTTTGTTTTTTTTCATGCTTTTTTTGAATCTTTTTATTTATTGCACTTTCGCTTCAATAGCTCTGTTTTCCTGCTAGAAATCACATCTTGTTTTTCTTTAACTTAATATTTCGATAGAAAGTTTTGGCCTGTTCACACTACATGATTGCTTTTAGTGTAGTAATCATAGCATTTAACTACTACTGTTGTCAGTCAGTCAGTTTCGATGACCGTTTATCCTTTGGGGTCACGGAGGCAGATGCGCGAAACAGTGTTTCCAACGTTCCTGATCTTGCTTTGGAGTCACCTTTCATCAGTCGGTAGGGCAAGAGTGGATATTTGGCTTTCTTTTCTAGTACCATTCACAAGACGCACTTACACCATCATTTCTGTGACTTTTGAATTTAAAGAAACTCCGCCTGTACACTACACTATATCACTGTTGCTACGCGTTGGAAAAGAAACACTGTTTTAAGCTGCGATGCTTCAGCTGATACAGATAAATTTTCTGAGCACTGAACCGTTTCTGCTAATCCTAGTAAGGCTATGATGTTTCAATAAAACTCTGAAATACCAAGAAAGAAGCTCGCATAACCACGGTATAGTCTCACTGTTGCAACATAATGCAACCATCGAAAGAGAAAGGCAGAAACGAATCTCTTCATAAGAACTTAAGCTGTAGCCTACTGTATAGCAATGTACTTTGTGTTCGCGAAAACCCCAACTCTGTCAAGTTAAAAGATTATCACTCATAATCACCGTTGAAACGGACGAAAATGCGAAGATAAACTTTACCACTGAAGTGCACCGTTCGATTTGAAATACTGCATTTTTATATTTCTTTGGGCGGTCAGAGTCTAAAATTAATCTGGACGAAAATTTGCAACGAAAATCAGGTATTATTGACATAATACATCATCTGTCTCGTTAACTGACCAGAAAACTAGAGCAGGCTTGCTTGAACAGTAATGATGAACCGGTTTGACACGCTCCTTTGAGAAAACAGCTTGTAGCCGCCTGGTCGCCAGGACACAATGAGTAAATTATGCATTCGTCTTCTGATGCATCAGGGAGTTAAATGGTAGGACGCAGATTTTCACGTGATAGCCCAAATGTACAGGCTTTCTCTATTTTAACCTCTAAACTTCTGAGCCAAGGCGCCTTGTCAGCGAGTCCAAAATAGAGAAGCATATTATAACCGCAGAGTAATGGCTCCAGGCTTCAGATTTGTTGGACTTCTTTCCTCACCTTTTAAACTTCATTACGACAAAACTTTTTGTCATTCAGCATTGGAATAAACGCACATTCGGTTTTTTCCTGCTACCGCTTTCAAACATTATTAAATAGTACTATCATTACCGGCTGGCTTTGAGCGGTAATGCCATGAGGTGAAAAAATATCTCCCAACGTTTTCTTGGTAGAAGAATTTTCATTGGTAGAAATACTCTTAATACTGAATGCCAGCAGAGCGTATGGAATTTGATTGCGTCAATTCCATGATACTCGTAATAGGCGGGACAAATCGCTCACGCAACTGTTCCTTTTAAAATAAGTGGTCATGCGCGCACGAGATGGAGCAAATCCGCTGACTTGAGAAACTGTCTTCGACAAAAACTCCGCCTCCTTCAACCGTGATTGGTCAGCATTGCCACGCGAGTTGTGTCATTTAAACAGCACTGAACCGGACTTCGCACAGTAACCCATGTATCAACTTCAACGAAGAAGCGTGCCGGTTTGGCTTTGGTGACAGGTCATTTAGTGCTAACGTGTGTGGTACTCAACTCGTTTTTACGTTGTTGTGACGGCATCACAAGCCTCTGCTCGTCCTGATTCGCGATGGACTGTACCCGTGCCGAGACTGCAGGTATTAATCTAGTGCCAAGTATTTTCGATTATTCAAATCAGCATTCCGCGCCTTGCGGCTCATCGTCGAACGTTCAGCCGTCGCAACAGAGCCGCTTTTCGACTTCGTGCAAAGGGGAGACGAATGGTTTCAAGTACGTCGTAGCTTTCGACTCTAGCATGGATAATGTTTACGGCAGCCACGGTGGCGATTCGCTTCCTTTGAATCCGAAATTAAACGATATGCAGTGGTCATCTTCTGTCCCGTCGAATTCGTCACCGCTTTCGACTGGCCCTGTGCCATTATCGTTTACCACGTCAAACAGTTGCTTATATTCGTCACCGTTGCCAGCAGACATCGCCTGCGGCGTCTTAGTCGATTCGCGACGACTGTTGCCCAAAAGTGACATCGCAAGGTACAGCAGGAACAGCTCATTGAGAGCGCAGGCAGCGAATAACCGTAAATTCAAGCCTCCAAGCGCGGCTGAACTGCGTCGACGACGAATCGCAGCCAACGAGCGTGAACGCAAGCGAATGGACAGTCTGAATTTTGCCTTCGACCAGCTGCGGGATGTTCTTCCGTCTGTGGAGGCGGGAAAAAATTTGTCAAAGATTGAAACATTGCTTATGGCCCAGGAGTACATCAGAGTGTTGCAGGAGCTTGTCAAAAATGACAAAGTCTAAAAGTTCATGCTCAACGAAAGTAAATACTTCTCACTTGGCCAAACCTCACCTTCTCAACTTCACACACGGCCGTGACATGGAAAAAAATGCAATGCATTATCAGCCTAATTTGAGAAGTTTTCATGAATGGTTTCTCGTTAAATTTGTTCTTCCAGTTGTTACCATTCCTTCATATCAGAGAACCTGACGAAGCGCTGTCTGATTATTTCTTCTGATGGAATAAATCTTACAGCCTGTCATTTGTTGCTAAAGATGATCACACGCATTAGTAACCAGTTTCGCAAACAGTTAACACCATATAATGCTTTACTTCGTTGTTAACTTTTTTATTCTTGTGAGTTCTTCAGAAATTTGTGATTGCCAAAACTTATCAAAATCAAATATTTTTCGAAAGACGAGATGCACTTATTCAAGAGCTCGACTTAGCTGCACCTTAAGATTGCATGTTTCATTATAAATATCATGAAAGTACGGTATTTTACTTAACAATGTCTTAAGCGGCCTCCTTTATCTAGTTTCAAGCAGCATCCCCGGTACGACAAATATTTTAAGCCAATGGAAGTAACAGCCCCCTGGAGTGGAAAGTTATTGTGAAAAGCCGTCCTCTGATTTGTGACACAATTGATTGTATCACAACGAGCGTGCTACATTCTTGAAAAAGACAATGGCAACAGTGTTAATTACGGCATCAGGTTAGCCTTTGCCAGTGCATGAAAGCCTATCAAGTTACCCAATGGACCTAACAAGATTAGGTCAGTCGCTACGTCGTTCGATGACAATGAAAGGCTATG